TGTTGTAATAGGCCCTTCACACAACCGAACAAAATGTTTATCTGTTATTCTTTCATCTTCTACCCACACACCAATAAATTACAAAATACAATCAACACAATATCTTTTCACATAACATATAAAACACAATAAACACGGTCTATCCTCTAAAACACTACTCTCACGATCACGCCACAAACATCCGCTCCTTCAAAACACTTACAAAAACCCTGAACATAACGTATCATAAAAATGTAAAACCCAATAAGAGCTGGACGATAATCATACACATCTGTGGAAGGGGATCCGGGGAATACATTAAGAACATCCCTTGGCATATACTCCTCGTACTGTTCCGATCCAACCGATTTACGATCACGTCGTCCAGCTCTCTTTCGCCTTTTAAACCAATTTTGTATTTTTTTAGTTTTGTTTGTTTTTCCTTTAATATTATTGTATTATGTGTTTTTAATAATAAAATAATCGAAGATACTTTTTTTATACAAATTGGTTATTATAATTCATACTTTCTTTATTGTTCCACGAGTGAATTATTGTATCAATAAGGATTATATGATTAAGGTAAGAACATCCTAATTTATTGTGCATGTATTTAAAATAGCAAGTGACCCTCGAACAACACACCTCGAGAAAAGGGATAGTTCTTATTTTTGCGATACTCCTATAACATTCCCTTCCATCATTTATCATACCACCATTTTTCTTATTTTTGTTTTACAACAATAAATTAGTTTGTTGTTTGATTTTGTTTAGAAAAAACTATTTTTTTGTGCTTGTATTGAATTACTGATAATCATTAAAAATTTTGTAAAATATAATTTGATACATTTATTTTATTGTAATTAACATTATTAAAATGAAGGTGAAGAGTTTTTTTCGTCGATTGGCAACATTATTTAAGTGCTGTATTTCGGAGAACAAAAAGCAAAATACAAGTGGTAAAGTATATTAGTTTATTATAGCTCAACTATGTTTTTAACGAATAATACCAAATTATATACAAAAAAGTTAAAAATTTTATATTGCATAATGGGATGAATAATAAATTAAGCTGGAAAAAATAGAACAATTTTCTATGGAATATTATAATTACTATTGTAAATATCTGTTAATGTTTTTGTAGATGATTACATTAATGAGACGATATATCTAACATTAGTATGTGTAAAACATTGATTTCATACATTGACCTATATTTTACATAAGTTAATTTTATAAATGACACTTTGTGATGTCAGGTCATCATGAAATTACATTCTTTTAGTATGCGAGTTGTATTGTAGTCAAAATATTTAGATTTTATAACTTTAAAATTCAGTGATAAATTTTAGAGGCTCTTGGAAGTTTATTCATTTTCAATTCAATCATATACATCNCAGTGATAAATTTTAGAGGCTCTTGGAAGTTTATTCATTTTCAATTCAATCTTATACATCTTGTTATTAAAGTTAATAATTGAAATAAAATAAAATCAATATTTTTTCATACAAAATAATTGCTACTAAATAGAATGATATAAATGACAAAACAAATGTGGTTTAACAAATGTTAAGACGTCTAGATAGTTAAAACTTTTATTTCACTCATTGTCTGTCNTTCTTTCACTCATTGCCTGTCATAGTAATGTGAACTCAATATGAACTTAAAAGTTCATGCTCAGAAAATTCTTGTGTACTGTTAGCTCTGACCAACTATGTCGCTTATTTGATTATTTTGAAGCAGGAACAAACAATCAATAATATTTTGCTAACACCTCCAATAAAAATAAAAATGTATCTATAAGACGTTATTTATTCTCAAAAGGGTTGTCAAAACCCCTATCTTCCTTCTTAGCATCCCTCAAATAGTGTAATATTGATATTTTTGGACAGTAACTTAAAAAAGGACTTATAGGATACTTATTTTATATACTTAATATAGGAATGTTACTATAAGAAAAAATATATCGTTTCTGCAGTAAAACTTTGAAAAATATAATATAACTAAATTAATTACTAGCTTAATTTTTCAATTAATTAATGTAATTGTTACGACTTTTCATATACAAAAATTATACAAGTTTAAGTGATTAAAAATTCATTAAAATATCATAATTCAATTTTTTAAGTACAACTATTAATATTAATAACACTGTTCTATGTAATATTTAAATTTGAAATCATTATAACCAAATCTCAATTAAATTTTTGACCTTATGTCAAATTTAGCCTTAGATTTCATTATTTAAGTCTAGTTGCTTAGTAAATATAATAATATATCCCTGTAGTGTCACTATTGTAACAATTAACTTTTAAAAAATTCACTTTTAATGGAATTTTAGTAAGATATTATGTTCATATTATCAAAAATATATAATTTTGTAATAATTGTGNCCCAGTGTATTCCCCTTGTACGATAATTTAAAATAAAATAAAACACTAAACACAGAATTTTAAGTCATAAATAGAATATTTTTAATACAGTAGCCATTTTCACCAAGAAGAAGATCTATATTTCTTATTTCTTATTTATATACATTAGAAATCTAAAAATATCATCAGACATTTTTTTTCTGAGTTAGACTTACAATTGATACCGAAAATGTTAAAATTTGAAAAAAGAAATTGTTTATAGAAACTTTAATACAAAACATTAAAAGAGATTTGGTTATCAAAATTTTTTTTTAAATGTTTTTTAAAAAATGTCGAACTATTTTTCTCAAATTAAAAAAATAAGAAGTATTAATACATCAATAATTATTTAGCAGATTATAGTTGTTAATTTGATAAGTTAAGCGCGCCAAATTATTGTGATTCAATTAAGTTTAGTACAATTAATTTTAATAAATGAATGTGTAATTAGTGTAACTAGAAGACACCTTAATTTTGAGACAAGTCATATTAAAACTACCATTTCAAACATAAAATAGTATGTGTAATTTGTATAATTATTCTGGGTTATTCCAGAAATTAAGGACTCAACCACTCCATTAACACTTATGGATGTTTTTGTACTGAACAATGATAAAAATTTAAAACAATTTAGCAATTGTGTGAAATATTATAAAATATATAAGTTATGAGTTATTTGAAAAAGTACAATAATATTTTCATTTAATTATTTATATTAGAGTGTATTATGGATTGCTCAAGTATTCAAAAAATTGAATATTGAATAACTTCCAAATATTTATCTTATAACAAACCGAGGACTATAATTTAAAATCAAAATTCATATGACCTCCTAAACAATCATAATTTGGCTATTGTCTAATGTTGTTAAAAAAATAAAATTGTATGGTTTTGTTGATAATATTTTAATTAATTCTTTAAGTGTATTCTGATCATAAGAATAGTAAATAAAGTTGCTACGTGATACATAATATTTATACACAAATGATTACAATCAAATATAAATTAGTTAGTTGTTTGATTTTGTTAAAAAAAAACTATTTTTCTGTGCTTGTATTGAATAACTGATATTCATAAAAACTTTGTAAAATATAATTTGATACATTTATTTTATTGTAAATAACATTATTAAAATGAAGGTGAAGAGGTTTTTTCGTCGATTGGCAACACTATTTAAGTGCTGTGTATCGGAGAACAAAAAGCAAAATACAAGTGGTAAAGTATCTTAGTTTATTATAGCTCAGCTATCTTTTTAACGAATAATACCAAATTATATACAAAAAAGTTTAAAATTTTATATTGCATAATGGGATGAATAATACATTAAACTGGAAAAATAAAAACAATTTTCTATAGAATATTATAATTCCTATTGTAAATATCGGTTAATGTTTTTGTAGATGAATATTATATTATGTTCATATTATCAAAAATAAATAATTTTGTAATAATTGTGTAGACTATAATAATAATGAAATTCGAAATATTAATTAGAAATTATGTCAGGTGATGTACAACTATATGTTAAAAACATAGAATGTAGCACAACACAAATGAATGATATCGATGTAGAAAATGGAGTGTCAGTAGGTAGTGCGTCAATTGTAAAACAAGAAAATGGCGACGATATGATTGTTGTGGAAAATATTAATTTATCTGAAGATACAAATGACATTTGCATTTCCAATACTTTAACTGAGGAGGATCCCTCAAATAATAGTGCCCCAGAGCTCAAAATTGATTGTATAGAAGATTTGTTGGCAGTTAAGCAAGAGAATGGTGAAGATATGATTACTGAGGAAAATATGTATTTACCTGAAGATATGAATGACCTTTGCATTTCCTATAATTTTACTGAACAGGATTACTCAAATAATAGTACCCCGGAGCTCAAAATTGATTGTAGAGAAGATTTGTTGACAGTTAAGCAAGAGAATGGTAAAGATATATTTGCTGTGGAAAATAAGAATTTACACGATGATGTGAATGACCTTTGCATTTCCTATATTTTTACTGAAGAGGATCACTCAAATGATAGTACCCCAGAGGTCAAAATTGATTGTATAGAAGATTTATTGGCAGTTAAGCAAGAGAATGGTGAAGATATGATTACTAAGGAAAATATGAATTTACACAATGATGTGAATGACCTTTGCATTTCCTATATTTTTTCTGAAGAGGATCACCCAAATAATGATTCGCCAGAACTGGAAGTAACACCTATTGAAGAAGAAGTGTCCATGGAAACGCGTAAACACGAAGAAGGTGTTATACGCTATTTTGGAATGAATAATGGAGCCGGTAGAATAATTTCAAAAAATGGAAAATGTTATAAATTTTATAAGGTAGGCATATTATTTTATTGTAATATACATGACAGAACCTGCGTTTTAAAAAAACTAGTCAAGTTTTTAATACATAAATTAATTAAACTAAGTATTCGTATACCAAAATAAATAATCTTAAATTTTTTTTGTAGTAATTAGGCATTAAACATAAAAAAATTCTCTTTAAACTATATAAAAATAGCGCATTTTTGTTTTCCTCAAAAATTATGTTTCTCGGTTTAGACATGAAGTTGATAATATATATTTTTTATTTCAAAAAAATACAAAAATCCTTTAAAATTGTCTTTTTATTTAGAAAGATATTGTTGGTACTTATAAATATTATAAATCTCCACAAAAAGCAAAGTTTGTGGTCAATGATTCACAGCCGAATTGGGCCATAGATGTTGAAATAGTTGGAGATATTTATGGCCAACGGTAATTATTAAATGATTTAACAGTATAAATAATAGATTAAATTTTGTTATTTTTTTGTATCTATAGATGCTATTATTGCTTAACGCATGGTCATTATACAGAGGAATGCATGCAATTAGATATTGACTCATTAAATTTTTACTATCCTTACATTTAAGGTACTAGAACAATCTATTTCATTAATCTATTTATTCATTTATTATTCAAATTTAATATTGCACATATTTTAATGTGTTAAGTAAAAAATCCTACTATACATTATAATATATCTAAGTCCTTAAATTTATTGTTAAAAATGAAGATTTAAAAATATTGTGAATCATTTTTTAAGTAATTGTTAATCAATAAACAATATATTGTCATAAAATAAAAATTCTTTTGATTAATTTGTTTAATATAATAAATAGTAGACGTATGTTTAAAATTTAAAATAAATAAATGAATTTCTTTATATGAAATTAGTATTTCAATGTTTTGGCAATAGTTTTTTCAATTAATTAAAAAAAAAAATTCAGCACAATGGGGTCGCGCCATAGTGGTGACGCATTAAAATCACTATCACAAGAAACGCTTGTTATTATAAGCAAATGTTTAATGTATAATGGACAATTGATTTAAGAGGTGAGAAAAAAAAAATGTCATCTCATTCGTAAAAGTCAGATCCAGTTAATATACGCGTAATGAAAAAAAAAAAAATTTACAATAGCGAGTTCTTGTAGTGGCAGACTTGCGCTTATGTTTCTTAGTTCAAAGTTTTCATACAATAAAAAAAAATATATATGTTATTAAGGTAGCTGTGAAAACAGCTGTTTAATTTGTCGAGATTGTTTCCTTTATTGACGTCTGAAACTAACTCATTTATTAATAATATGTATGTGTACGCATCACTTCGATATACCATACAAAATAGAAAAATGCTTTAATAAGCGTACCAATTGTTCGTGATTTATTTAATGTACTCGCTATGAATTATATGGAATAAGCAAATGTATGAATGAGAGCTAATCGGTGTAAACCTAGGCGGATCTCTTAATAGGTTTTTTTTTTGTTTTTATATTTATGCTACTATGTTTACTGTGGGCGACTGTGCGTGAGATAAAATCAATTATTATTTATAAAAAATTAAATGAAGTTACTTAGATTTTTATAAAGTATAAAATATTGGATTATTGTAGATTTAAAATTAAATATATAAGTTTTCAAGTCATACCATATGTTGATGGAAAATCCGTAACGTGCGTGTTAATAATCAATTTGCGATTTAAAGATAAAATACCAATAGTTGCCATGTATAAATGAAAAACGAAAAAAAAAAAATAATAATAATAATATATTTATAACAAATCAAGGTGTAATAATAAATACATTCATAATGTTGTACATTAGAGGTCAGGAATCACGTATTAATTCTCGGTGCGCTACCTATTAAAATGCTTCGTTGGCCATTACGCTGCATCAGCAAGGTTGCGCGGTGTTAAGATCGAAAGAATGATGTCCTGTGAATAAATAAAAACGTCCAGGAAAAGCATCTGGGAAAAATAAAATCATCCAGGAAAATACGTCTGGAAAAATTAAATCATCCGGGAATGGTCATCCGGGAAAAAAAATAAAATCATCCAGGAAAATACGTCTGGGAAACATAAAATCATCCGGGAATGGTCATCCGGGTATAAATAAGATGTTTGGCGAACTATGGAAGTTAGATGTTAAACAGCTGACATTTAAATTGAATATGATAAACTGTGTAGTAATAAAATAAACTCTAAGAATGATTATGAACGCTTTTGTAATTAATTGATAGAGTGAGAAAAGAGCAAAAAAAAAATTTTATATAAATAAATAACTAAATAATACAAAATACAAAAATATAATTAAATATAATGATTGTTTTTAATGAAATGTCGGTGTTCTAGCAGATGGGACTGATGGTACAAGTGGCGGTAGAGTTGGTCCGTCGCACATATTCTTACATTTAGTCCCCGGCACAGCAAATGATGGTAAATGAGGCGCGCTCCGATTTCAATAGGTATTTTGTCGCGATTCATTCCGATCGGAGGCAGGGTAACCCCCCGTATGTTATTTAATAGTAAAAAATCCGATAGTTGGGAGATGGCAGATTCGAAGTCGTAGATAGAGGGTTTTTTATTATAGTTTGATTTTGTTAGAAGAGTCAGTACTGTATTTGAATTTTTTTGTTGTATGCAAATGTAAGCCGAAAGCCGATCGGAACTTACCGGTTTCCCGACGAACGACGCGAATTCCCGAGCAACGCCTCTTGTCATTCTGCGGGGGTGGTCAAAGTCTGAACTGGTACAGTGAGCAAACACCGCACCGGGTTCGCCGAAGAACTTTTCGATTCGGCTGTCCACCATAGACAGTTCAGTACCGTTGAATGTGTATTTTTCTTGTGCCATGCTGTTAAGAAAAAAAATTTCTTTTTTTTTTTTTTTAATATTATTGTAAATATATTTATGTCATAAATAATTAATCGACAGGGTAGTCCGTTCTTACCCGCGTTAGTCGTCGGTTTTATTCGCGCTTACATTTCCGCGAAATATATTTACCTAAAATATAGAGGATTAGATATCCTAACAAAAATAATAGTATGAAAAAGAGTATTTTATTATCGTCGATTGTCGTTTCGAATTTAATATTTCTCTCAGCTATATCAATATCGTCAATCACGTCGTCGAGTGGTTTTGAAAATTGGTCAAGCTCATTTAAATCAGGCCGAATCGGTTGAATAGCGGGTTTCTTAATTATCGAAGAATATTTTATTTTGTTAATTTTATTAATAATCGATGAGTGTAATGAAATGTTAAGTTGTGGGACAAAATCTACACGATAAGATTTTGTTTTAAAAGACCGTGATTGCAAAATGTCCGATGGAGTATGGATTTGACAACCTACGTCAATTGTCAAGATTCCGGTGCCGTTAATATCCGCGGTATATGTGTTAAGTCCACATATTATCGAAATGTCTATTTGCTCGGTTAATAAATAGATCCAGACGTTTTTTGTCAAAAGTTTATTGTAAACTTGCGATTCGAAATGGAAATGTTTAATGTTACAGCTGTCAGGAATTTTTGAAGTATTCGTAAAAATTTGAGTTTCGCAATTGTTTAATTTTCGTCTTTTAATTGTATCGGGAAATAAGCATATTGTTTGAACTTTGTTAGTGTGACATGCGCTGATATCTTGTTCGGTGAACGGAATTATAGAAGTGTTGTCCATTGAAATTACCAGGTAGCGGTGTTCGGGCTCAATATATGCGAATTGTTTATCGGCGATAATTATGGGAAGCGGAGTTATATGGTACGGGGTATTGCGAGACCTGTCACATATTGGAATTTCTAGTGTATATATTAGGTTTCCAAATGCAAAGCGATTAAATTTGCCTATTAGATTAATAATCGCGCGCTTTTGTTTCCTATCTTTTAAATGAATTAAATTTTTATAGTGCCTGTCCATTTCGAGTAAGTTATATTTGAGAATGTTATCGTAATTTTGACACGTGATTGACGTATTTAAAGTCCTATTTTGATTATTACATAATCTAAGCGTTTGAAGCCGGATTTGGTGTATTTCGATATATTTTGTTTCATAACCGGAGATATCTACATAGATAATTAGGTTGTACGAATCTTTTGAAAATATTATATTATCTAAATTTTCTAAATAAAGGCCTACATCGTTTATCGGTTCAATGGTAAATTGCTCACAATCGCCACACGAATAAAAAGTGAGAGCGTTAAGTAAAAAGAAAATAGCAATGTAAAAATACGACGCCATATTGACTTGTAAAAATTATATTCAGAATAACAAATCCCTGAATTGACATATTCCGTATTACTCCACAAAATGGTGTGTTGTTGAATTTTGTTGTTAATTTTGAAAATAGTTGTGAGAGATGAAAATAAAATTGTTATAAGTAATTATAAAAATCGTTATTTATTGCGAAAAAAATTATATAAATAATTGATATAAAGTCTAAAATAAAATAAAAAAAATATATATATATAAAAAATTGAAGTTCTGTATAATAGTTAAGTATCGCACTATTTGTTTCGGGAAGATAATGTTCAAGTCAGTAGCCGTAGAATAACTGTCAGATTGTCACGCGCTGTTAAATGAAATTCACACACTTTTGTNAGATTGTCACGCGCTGTTAAATGAAATTCACACACTTTTGTTATGATGAGGTAGCATATTCAAGTGTACGATACACATGTCCTTAGTATATACACATATATATTTATATGTGTGTAGTAGGACACTATTGGCATGGTGTGGTAGAAAATTATGAACACAACAGAAATGAGGAGAATGAGAAAAAAAAAAATCAAAATTAATTTAAAATTAGTTTCTAGAAACGTAGGGTTTCATTTGGTCAACGTGAACCGGCGAGTCTTTGAGTATATTATTTTTATACATTTTTATTAAATATGTATAGGGACCCGTTTGTTTGACAATCTCGTAGGGCCCTTCATAGCGATTGTCGAATTTATTAGTTCGAATGGGGACCTTAACTAGTACTTTGTCTCCAGCAGAGTATTGCGCGACGTGTTTCGGAAAGTTTAATTTTGAAATGGTGTTGTTTGATGCTTGTTCAATTATTTTTGGCAAAGTTTTTCGGACATGGTTTAAATTATCAAGTTCAGATAACACATTTGCGTTGTCTGGGGGTATAAGAGCTAGGTCATATATACTTTTAGGATGATAACCGTGAACTAAGTAGTGGGGAGCATACTTAGTAACCTCATGTACTGAAGTGTTATATGCAAAGACTATGTAAGGCAGATAGTCGGCCCATTTGTTGTTATCTTGGACATAGTGGGCAATCATATCAATGAGACTTTGGTTTTGCCGTTAGACTTGCCCTTGAGAAGTGGGCTTATAAGGAATTCCAAATGTTTTATCTATATGTAGAGAATCTAAAAGTTCTAAAATCCAATTAGCAGTAAAATGTTTAGCATTATCTGACCTAATAATTTTGGGTGGTCCAAATCTTAAAATGAAGTCTAACAGAAATTTGTTTGTACTCTGTGCGTTGGCACTTGTGTAAGGTCTAGCTACGCAAAATTTAGATAGCCGATCGGTTGCGACAAGTATATATTTGTATGATTTCGAATTTTCAAGTGGACCAATGTAATCTAAAAAAATTTCTTCCATTATTCCACAATTATCTAATGGATATCTACCTGCTTTAGGTGGTTTTGGTTGTTTATACGATTTTCGCTTTTGACAACTTTCGCAACTTAACACATATTTTTTTATATTTTTGCGAAATTTTGGC